AGCTTTTAAAAATAATAAATTAAAATATAATATTAAAAAAATTATAAAATTAGCTATAAAATTAGCTATAAAAAAAGCTAATAAAGCTAATAAAACTAAGGCTAAAAAGGCTAAAAAAGCTAAAAAAGCTTATAAAGCTAAAACTATTAAATAAATTTATATTAGTAGTTTTACCTCTTTTAGAGGGAAATAAAGTAATAAAAATATTTTTATAATAAATATAAGAAAATTAGTATTTTAAGCTAAGCTATTAATTTTTTATTAACTAATTAAAGCCTAAAAAATACTTTTATTATATATCGTATTAATAAATATATAAAGCGGGAAGCTGCACACAGCTTATTGCTTGCCAACGTGCCGTAAACTCTACTCGGCTACTATTTTCATCCCGCTTTCCCTAAAAAGGGGGCCATATCTAGCCTGCTAGCTGTGAACAACTTCCACACAGTCTAATGGACCAAGTCCGGAACGTAAGAAATCTTGGTTTACTAGATTACCACATACATGATCGCACGACACGAGCAAGATAGGTATATCCTGAATGAAGCAATTATTCATAAGAAAGATGGAACTCTCAAGGCGAATGCTGACTCTTTAAAAGCTATTTATATAATAGGTTGAGATATTTATCAAATAGAGGCCACATGGTTCCCTCACAGGAAGCAAAATATCCCTCGTGGTACATATGTTGCCCAAAAGTTTGATTTCATGTGCCATGCTTTTCTCATTTGCCGTTGCGCATTTGCGCCTTGGCAAACTTCCGGAGAGCCTTCAAAAACACCTGATATCCAAATCCCTCGTTATCCTGGAGGCAGAAAATTTCCGTCAAACGAATCTGCCAGGGTGGGTAGCCAGACAGCTCCACGTTGGGGCTGAACAGAATGAGAAGATCTGGCTCAGGCATGATTCCCTCGGAGAGTTCTGCATCCACCAGTTCCATAGAGATGTCTCGTGGCGAAATCTTGCCTCTCTGCGACATTTCCGCCAAGGTCCGAGTGAGGTCGACGATGGACTCCCTACCGTCTTGGGCAGAGATGAGGTGCAACTTCAAGTGGCCGTGTTTGTCACCAGCTAGTGCTGGAGATGAGTAGGCGTCCTTGTGTGGAGAGGTGAGCAAGAGGCTCGGATGTTGTCCAGCGAAGTAGAAGGTGAACTTTTGCATGACGGCTTCGTAAACTCGGGGCATGTGCTTCTTCAGAATGCCTGTTTTACACGCATTAGACACAGAAATCTACCCAAATATTGATATAGCCAATTTAGAAGGCAATACTCACCTGTCTTCTCGTAAATGGAGAGCATGGGAATCTCGGCGCTGGCGCACCAAGCTGCCAGCTCAGCAGTCTCCTCAATTAGACGATCAAGGTCAGCTTTAGGTCTCTGGTTTTCCTCGGCCTTCAGAATGGCGCTCAGATGGTTAGGCTTTCGGCCTAGACCGATTATATCCCGTCGAATGTATTCCGGGGTTCCGTGATGGTAGTACAATACGGAAGAGACTTGGTAGCTGACAATATGGATGGCCTGGCGAATGCGGATGTATAGGGAAAAGAGGCCGTGCATAATGGCAAACACAAGCGCATAGAGCTGAGTTTTTAGAAATCGCCGAACACCAAGCCGTGACCGACGCTGTGATTGGGCTTTCGAGGCTGCAACGGTGGGAATCTCGTTTGGGTTGGGAAGATTTGCCTGAATGTGTTATCAGCAACCTGACTGAAGAAGACATCTATCTTGAGCGCTGGATATCCTACCCTTATGATCCTCTCCCTCTCCTTGTCGCTGAGAAACTTGTGGTCCGACGCATTATCAGCTCTGTAGGCCGCGCGGTCGCGGGCAGACATGGGCATTGCGAAGTTATTGCGGCCCGTTAGCCGGAAGTGAAGTATTAGTCAAAGAAGAAAAAGGTATCGATTCGAAAGAAGAGGCGTCGTCGGGTACGTTGTCGCTATGAATGAGCACTCCAAATTAGAAGCACACAACAGAAAAAAAAAGACCAAAGAAGAAGAAAAAAACAAAGAAGAAAAGCCACAGGTCAGTCGTAACAGGTGGGCTGGCTAATAAACGAAGTGGCGAAGACGTGGCAGCATGGTGATGACGGTGGTGGGAAAGAGATGGAGCGAGACGGCGGCGAGAAATGTTGGTGTTTCCTCCGTGTCTGAATTACGTCGCTAGACTTGGCAATGCGCATGTGCTTCGTGGTTCGGCTGTGGCGCAGTCACACTTGCAGGCCATAGGCGGGGCTGAGAGTGGCTCAGAACCCCTACGCAGTGTTACGCATGGACCGGGGCCGTTCAAGGCACGTCGCAACGTTGAACCAGCTCGACAAGGCGAAGCCCTCAACAGCGGACCTCGATGCATCGACGACATCCTCCCAGCCTTCGCAGACACCCGACGACAAACCGCGTCTGCACACAGATGCTTTGATATCCCACAGCCACTACACACATGTAGCCTGTCAGCCGGCCTTTGCAATCCCGCTCTCCAACCATGGAGCGGTCCAGTTCGGGCCCAAAGAGCCTCTTTCCCAAGGGCCCGAGCTTCACCTTGGACAACTTCTCCAACAAGGACTTCATCGTTCGGGACTTTGTCGACAGTCTAGCGGATAGTGCTGTTCCTGCCAATCGCCGCTCAGGACCTGCAGCGGCAGCATTTGACCCTAAGCCGTTAATTCGGACCTTCGAGAGTATAGCCAGCCTGTCCCAAACCCGCCTCGATGCTTCTCCCCCAAGCACCACTGACCAGTACTTTGTCAACAGATGCCCTATCGCAACTGGCATTGCTCGGTGATGAGCTCCAAGAGAAGGAGTCCGAAATCCTGTCTCAAGTACGTCGCGCAGAGATACAGCATGACCAGACTCTCGATACCCTCGGTCGCACGCTCGACCAAAGCATGAGCTCATTCGAGGCACTCGATGGATCGTTGGGCCAGAACAGCGCCAGCAATGCTCCGGAAGCCGGCGGCCGGACCGACGGTGGAGGTAACATAGCTGTTCAAATAGGAGAGAAGCTAGAGGAGCTTGATCGCAAACGACGCCGAGCACAAGACACCATGTTCCTGATCCAGTGCTGGACCGAGCTTAGCGAGTCCGGACTGCTATCCTCCTTGGAAGATATTCGACTTCATGGCGGGTCCGAGAATAAAATTAGGTGCGCCGTCATCGCGCGGCAGTTGATGAGAATGAGCCAGCAGCTTGACCCGTTGTCGTGGACTTCTTCCAACAGCCAGCGAAATAGCTCGACGCCGAGTGGCCAGAATGGCGAAACCAAATCACATAATACGCGCGAGATTCTCGAAAAGTTCTGCGAGTCCTTGGAACAGGACCTTTTAGAACAATTTAACAACAGCTACAGACACCAGAACTTTGATGACATGATGGAATGCTCCAAGGTCTTGCATGACTTTAATGGTGGCGCTAGTGTGATTGCCGTCTTCGTCAATCAACATCAGTTCTTTATTGATCGAGACCAGCTGAATGATGAGGCTATTGCCGATGGAGAGACGTGGGAAGTTCTGGCGGACCCTGACTCAGACCCTCCTGGCGTCGATCCGGGGTTGCAGTCTCTCGTCGACGAGGTCAAAATTGTCATGCAGGAAGAATCATTCATCATCAAGAGAGCATTTCCATACTATGAGACAGTCCTCATCAAGTTCATCCAACGAGTATTTCAGCAGTCCATTCAGCAGAGACTCGAAAAGGTTCTCGGCAAGGCGGAGACCGTGTCCACTCTGGCCTTTTTGAGATCATTACACTCTTCAAGAAGCTACATTAGCTCGTTGGTGGAGGACTTGAAAAGCCATGGTCTCACAGAGCACCCCGACGCATGCTCGGGGCAGATTGCCCAGACGCTGGATCAGCAGATGGATGAGCTATTCATTCCGTACTTGGTGGGAAGCTCTTACATCGAACGAGAGCGAAAGAGCCTCGAGGAAATGTACAGCTCGTTGCTATTCAAATTCAACATGTACCATTCGCGAAGAAAGAGAGCACCGCAGGGTTTCATGGCATCATTAGCGCAGCAAGGCACCCAGTTCATGGCCACGGCCAAGGACGCCTATCTGGAACGATTAGAATCTTCAGATCTCACACCGACACAGAAGCGAATCATGCTGCGAGTCGCTGGTATTAAGGATAAAGAGAACAAGAATGAAATCGAGGTCTCGGAGGAAGACGGTGCGCTGAGCGTCAGCAATGCGAAGCGTATGCTAAAGTGGCTCGCGGAAAGTGTCCAGCGAACCTTGGAGCTCGGATCCCAAGCCGAAACACCCAGGGATGTCAACGCCCTCCTGCAGCTTTTGCTCACCAACATGGGTCAGCTCTATATCCAGACGGCACTGGAGGCCGCAGACGGGCAAGCTGCCTTGGTGGAAAACTCCAAGACGGAGCCCGACCTGACCTTCTTGCCCACTATCCGTCCAGCAGTCACCATCTCCGCCATCATGGACAGGTTCATCACCGTCGTTCTCATCCGCCTAGCCGAGTCCAACACCACGGTAAGGAAGAGCATGGAAGCCCAACGCAACATGGCCATCGACGCCATCGAGAAGAAAACCAACACCGTCATGAAAACGTCCATCGACGTCATCACCAACTATGTCACCAAATCGCTCAGCTCCCAGAAGAAGCAAGACTTTCGCCCCAAAGGCGCCGAGCTCGAATTTCTCCAAACGCCTACGTGTCTCAACATTTGCAAATTCCTCGGCCGCTCCTCCAAAGAAGCCAGCCTCGCTATTGACGGGCTCAACGCCGAAAAGTACTATAGCGAGCTCGCGCTCTCGATTCACGAACTCCTCTTTGACCATTTCAAGAAGTTCCAGGTCAATGCTACGGGGGGGCTGATGGTCACGCAGGACATTGCAAAGTACGTCTCCGTGATGCGGGACTGGTCCCTTTCCAAGGATGTTGCGGTCATGGTTGAGCTTCTTACGGAGATTGGGTCACTCTTCATCGTGGGTCCGGAAGCATTGAGGGAGAAGGCGAGGGCGCTGGCGCCGGGCCAGAGCGGCGGGAGGGGGAAGCTGTGCAAGGGCGACTTCAGGGCATTTGTGCAGAAAAGGGACGACTCGGGGTCGGTTGGGATACAGAGCATATTAGCAGGGCTATGAGGGGGACCCTGGGAGTGTATTCATAGGCGTTGAGTATCTGGCGTTGCACGACCTGAGGCTGGGCAAAAGACACTCGTTGCCTCCCACTGCGGTAGTTATGAGGAATGTGTCACGATGGTCAAGGTTACATCCATCTATGTGTGAAGGTCTATGTCATTCAGTCGTGTGCTACCGTCTATTCCCATGTGCCTTCCAAAAGAGCAAAAAAAAAAGTGCATTAATCATCAGTGATCACCTTCTACATTGCTCGTCATGACGTGGATTCACGCCCGGCTCATAAATCCCTGCGCATCCCCTTTCTGCCCGTGTGCTCCTCCACCTTTGCATCCAGGAAATCTACCAAATCAAGCATGCTCCCGCAGGCGTTGAGCTCAGCCCTCTCCCTCTTGTTCAGCAGGGCCCTCTTGTCCGGGCCCATCCCGGGCGCCGTCATCTCCTGCACATGATGCAGCGCCAGCTTGAACGGCAGCGGCGCCCTCGCCACCCTGCACATGAGCGTCTCGACGGCCTCCCACGGGCACGCGGCGTGGCCGGCAAACAGGGCCGGGTTGGCGAGCAGGCCCCGCGCCGACATGAAGCCCGACAGGTGAGTCGTGCTCGGGCGAGGCGTCGACGGGTCCGGGTCCGGGGGCCTCGTGCTGCGGATAGGAAGGGCGGACAGGTCGAACACGTCGCCGGACAGGAGGAGCGGCAGCGTGGCCGCGTACCTCTGCGTGAGCATCTCGAGGGCCTCGGCGAAGATGGGCGTCGTGGACGGCGTGTGCCGCGTCCGCGGGTGGATGGTGACCCAGTCGACGTTGCGGAACTGCGGGTGTCCGATGACGGCGTCGAGGAAATCAACCGTTTTCCTTCAAGTGTGTTTTTCTCCCGCGTTAGCCTGGCCTGGCCGTTGTTGAAGGAGCATGTTAGATTTGGGGGGGGAGCGCAATACCTCAGGTCGTCGTGGACGCGGATCTTGACGCTGACGCTGCGGCCGCGCGCGCTCTCCATGTCGCTCTCCTTGGCGACGGCCCATCCGTCCTGGCGCAGGCGCTGCCTCGTCTCCGTCACCATGTCGCGCACGAGGGCTCTCTGGTCCATGAGCGCGGCGCCGAGGGTTTCCGCGCACGCCCATGACTGCGGGCATCCGCAGTTGAGGTCGACGCCCGACACGAATGGCGCGGCGAGCGACGATGCGCGTGCCAGCTCGAGGGGGGTGTTGGCGCCGAATTGGAGAATCGTGGGCGGTTGCGCCGCCGTGGTCGATATCGTGAGGTCTATCCGGGGGGGTCAGGTATACATGATATGAGTGGGACGGAAAGTAAAAGGGGGAGGACCGTACCGCTGTCGCGAGCAAATTCACTGCGGTTGAATTCCTTGGCCAGAATCATGGGCGTCCAGCAGAGATCCGTGCCGTATTGGTGAACCGTTTGTCTGAAGGCGAGCTGTGCTGGGGTCAGCGTACTCGTGCCGGTTCTGCGAACAAGTGGCGAGTGTGGGCTGTACCTTGCTGTAGCGCACCATTGGCGCACAGGCATAGATGAATTTGTCTTGTTTCCTTGCTGCGTCGAATATTTTGAGAGGACTACACTGCGGATTAGTTGTCGGTTTTGTGGACAAGGGCCGTGGTTGAAGGTGAACTCACTGCGGCGTTGGGCCAGGGGACAGTGAGTCCCCTGTGACGGCCATGGCGGAGCTTCTGGTCTATGTATTCTGTCTGGATTGTATCGCGGTTTCAAGGGAAATGAGGAGAAATGAGTGTTGGGGCCAGGTCCATGTATTCGTGGTGAGAGACGTGGTTGTGTCATGAGTTGAAGTCCGCTCCGTAACGTCGGGTTTTTTGGATGCGCCAAAGCGGGACCGGCTGGTGTATGACTTATTATATGGCTCGCGCCACCCATTGAGTGAAGGAGGGCGGGATGCAACCTCGTTTAAGGGACGGTTTGATGTTTGCGTCTTGATGATTCTTTCGTCTATCCTTGAATTTGCGTTTTATACATTGCAAAATGCCAAATGTCACACCAACGCGCCGCCATGCAATAGATAGAAAGACCACCATGGTTCACTTTACCCAACTCAAGATGCAGGCTCAAATCATAATCATGTCCTCATCATGTCAAATTCTCTGGCTCCGGGTCTTTCTGTGGCTCTCCTTCGCTCGCAAACAGACTGTCCGCGTCGCCCTCCATCTCTGAAACCTCCCAGCCGCCCAACAACGTCTCTCTCTCGCAGACAACCTCACGAAACCATTTCTTCTCAGCCACCATCTTCCTCGTCAATTGCGTCTCCCGCTCGTCATACATATCCCTCAGCCTTTCTGACTGGCTATACATGACCTCTTCCTTCATGATCCGCTCATCCTCTAATTTCGCCTTGTAGACCCCAATCTGCTGGTCCCTCCACCTCTGCCACGCCCCATGTCCTTTGTCCATCTTCCTCCTAAGCGGGATCATGGACTGTTCAATCTCCGCCTCAGCATTGACTTTGCCGCTCCAGAAATCCTGCAGTTGCTCGAGATACGTTTGCTCGAGTTTGCGTTCGTGCGCGAGGCGCGCGGCGTACTCGCTCTTAAAGCTGTTCTCTCTTGTTGACATCTTTTGCGAAATCTTTTGCGCAAGTTCAATTCGTTCCATTTCGTGACGCGCCGCGAGATTGAGTTTCATGGCATCTGCTTCGTGGAGGAGCATGGCGGCACAGTCTTCTTGATACGACTCCAGCATGGCTTGTTGGAGTTCGTGGAGTTCGTTGAGTCGAAGACGCAGTTGTCGGAATTTCGATTCGACTTCTTTGCGGCGAAAGCTTTCCAGACGGAGTCGTTCTTTTATTTGCTGCTGCCACCGTTCTTCTTCCAGCCGCGCCTGTTCGAGGCGTTCGAGCTCAGCGCGAGCGGCTTCTTCGCGCTCGAATTCTTCGATTTGCGCCAGGATGGCGCGGAGTTCCTCTGCTTCAGCCTGTTCCCTGACACGTCTTTGCTCGCGCCGAGCGTCGGCTGCCTCTTTGAGAGTATGAAGCTGCTGCATTGTGCAGTGACATGTTCTCCAGCGCAGGCCACAGACATAGCAGAATTCAGTGCCGCATCGGCACGTCATGTGTTGGCATGCTTCTCCGTGCTCGACGAGTGCGTGGCAGTTGAAGCAGCGTTTCCAGCCTTCCTCTTCAGCCAGAATGTTTGTGAGGTTCATGTCGTAGTCTTGAGGGCAGTCTTCGTTGCCGTGCGATGGGCCACGGCAGATGGTGCAGGTTAAATGGCCGCGTTCGCATTTCCCCTGGCGTTTGTTGAGTCTGATGTTCTTGGGTCGGATCCAGATACCGCACTCGGGCTGGCTGCAATACACACGCTCGCTCATGGGCAATTCCCACTCTGACGCCCGTACTTGGAATGTCTTCTTCAAGTCGTCGGGTATGTGTTTGAGAACTAGTCGGAAGGGTATCTGGTTCAGGCAGCATTTCGGCGGCCACTGTTGCTCATTTTGCGTGGCCGCTGTGACGAGTCGGACGAAGCAGTCTTTACAGTAGCTGTGGCATTGGACCCTGACCGCATCCTTAACAGGTATATCATCGAGGCAAGATACGCATTCTCTAATTCCAGTTAGCACGCTTACCTCCCTCCCTTGGCAGACACATGGCAGGAAGGCTTTACTAACACCTCTGGTTCTGGTGGCTGGGGAAGCTCAGCATTCTGAATAAACCCGGACTTCCTCAATGCCATGAGCGCCTCCTGCGTCTTGGAATCCGTATTCGAGAGATCAACTTTACTCAGTCTCGCTTCCAACTTCTGCCTTAGCGCCTCCCTTGCACCACCCATCGCACTGCTCTCACCCGTTTCCGGCGTTCTGTGAAACAGCCTCCGGATAGCAAATCTTCTCCGGCCCGCATCCTTGACAACAGTCACCTCGGTCGCTTTCCCGGCCGACTTGACAGACACGGTGTTAAAACAAGCCAAAGCCAAATTTGCACCGTTTAGAATCGTCGTAGGTGAGGCATCAGGTTCTATCGGTTTCTCTGGCGGTATGATGATGGGCAAATAAGGTTTAGGGGGGTTACCGTTCTTGCGAGCCTCCTCCTGAGCGGCTTGATGGCGTTCATCTTCAAGCTGCTTTTGGTGGTCTTCTCGGACGACCCGGGCTTTGACATTGTCTATGGAGGTGTTTATGATGTCTTGGAGGATGAGGGAAGTGAAGTTTGGTGCCTTGCGAAGCACACCGGGTGGTTCGTATTTGTGCCAGTCAATGTCGCCAAGGTCAATGTCCGACATGTTGTCTGTTGACCATGGGCAGGCGTGGTCTTTGTCTCGCCATTCATCTTGCAGTATTTGAATCGTTTCGAAGGGATTGTGGTATAGTTCTGCGAGATCCTCGTCTATAAAGGACCCCGGCATGGGGCGTTGAGTGATGTCCATGATGTCAGAGTGCTTAGGCCGCATAGACAGGTCCTTTGTGCCAGGATCCTGTACATACACGGCACAACGTATAAACAGAAACGAGCAGTCTCAAACGTTTCAATGGGTCGGCCCTTTCCCGTTTCTTGAAAGTGAACAGTTATCACTATTCAATAAAAAGGTGCTGGCAGCGAGTTCGGAGCGTGTTTTTCGTGCAATATTGAACCTTTACGCAGCGATGGACCGCCTCCAAGGCTCTTAACTTGTCTGGCATCTTCCATCCTACCACCCAGTGCCTCTCCTAGCAGCCAGCGTGAGGCTGCATGTCGGAGAGCCCCAGCCCATCCCTGGACCGCCGTCGCGCTGGTGCTCCCGTCATAACTCGTCTCAGCAAGGCTTCTTAGGTACCGGAGTCAGCTCATGCACGTTGCCCGCCCAAGTCTGGAAATCCGTATGGAGGGTTGGATGCACGTGGAAGCCACCACCTGGTTGAAGTGGACGTCGCGGGCGGATATGTGTAACGTGCAGGAGGAGGTGCACATGTGGGGTCTTGACATGGCAGAGCTGAACGCCAGGGCTGAACGAACACCTAGCGCCCCTCTGAGCCACCACCGATCCCGCAGGTTTAGGCGCCTGGCCTCTCGGTGAATCTTGTTGGCTGTCTGGTTCAGGCTCTCGAGCTGTTTCCCACACATCACATGTGCATGCTTCTAGCATGGATCGGGCGCTGCGCTGCGTGCCTAGGCCTCGAAAATAGAACATTTGAACCCAGAGGCGCCACATACGACAGGCCAAGCTATGCCATCTTGGTTTTTGGGCGCCTGGCCGCATGCATTGCATGGCGGGAGTGAATCTGGAGGTATGGAACCCGTCAGGATATGTATAGTAACGGAATGAGGCAACAGTATCCACGTGGGCAAATTGTACAAAGTGCGCAGCTGGTTATGTGGTGGGATCCGGAATTGTAGGCATTTATGTCTATAACTGAATCTACAGCTTTGCCTCCAACCTTGCAAAGTCAACCGTGTTTGTGCTTTGCATCATGCCATGTTTAGCGAATGCGTTTTTGTTGCCGTTGTTGGTCGGAGAGCACTTACCAGGTTCCAACTTGTTCCAGACCAACTTCAACAACATCCCCATCTTTGAGCCAAACCTGAGGACTCCTGCCCATCCCGACACCCGCGGGCCTGTTCCGAGTCAGATAAGGATTTCTTTCAATGGCACCTCGGTTCGATCCAAAGCTACTCACGTTCCTGTGAAAATGATGTCCCCCGGCAGAAGTGTCACGCCACGACTCAGTAAGGAGACGGTCTTCCTTACTCCAAAAATCAAATCCGCAGTTGATCCATTCTGAAAGCAATTAGCAGCTTCCATCACGCCAAGTCACTTAGAATGTACACACCTGAAGGGTTTCACCATTGACCTTGGTCCAAATCTTCAACTGGTGAGGATCCTTTATCACGTCAGTGGTAACAATACCTGGGCCATAAGGAGCCCAGCCGTCGAATCCCTTGCCGTGCGACCACTGGCCTCCTCCTCGCTTGATCTGCCAATCTCGATGTGATACGTCGTTGCCTACGGAGTACCCAAGAACATAATCAAGAGCCTCTGATTCGGAAACGTCGGTAGCTCTCTTTCCGATTACTATGACCAACTCGCACTCGTAATCCAAGCCAGTGCCCTCCTGGGCCACATGTGGAACGGGAATCGGATCAGATGGGCCTGAGAGCGATGTAGCAGGCTTATAGAAAAGAATTGGGTATTGGGGCTGAGGCATTTTTGTCTCTTTGGCGTGGTCGGCATAGTTTAAGCCAAGACATCGGACTGTCTTGACGTGGGCGGGATCCAAGGGTGGTAGCAAAAGGCGGACGTCAGCCACTTGGTCTGTGACTTGATGCTGTCCAAATATATCACCGGTAACAACCCGAGCTCGCTTGGTTTTCGCGATGTCCGTAACCCCGTTTGGGAGTATAGCATCACCATAGTACGTGTGGCCATCTCTGGCGAGGAAGCGAACAAGACGCTGTTGAGCAAAGAGTGTCAGAACCTCGGGAAGCGATGTCGGCGCAGCCAGCAGCGACCATGTGCAGCTTGCAACGAGAGGAGGGTGGTCTACACTTACTGAGAAGGCAGGCATGGTCAATTTTCGAAAACGCAACTACAAGGTCTGGTTGGTGTGTGTCGGTGTTTGGTAGGCAATTGGTTGATATTTGAAAGTACTGATGTTCCGGGGTAGATGGATTATAAATGGTGACTTGGTTCAGAACCACGTCGGGAAAGCAGTGTGTGCGAAATGGTACAATCGGCCGCGGAACTCCAACCACCAATCTTTAGAAAGGTAATACACTTATCAGCTAAATATCCCGTCGGCTTTGAACTGCAATCATCCCACCGAAAGACCGGAGCCGTTTACATCGCCAGCCGCACGTCGTCGTTGTTTTGTACTAGTAGTTGCTATCGGGATCCGCCGGGAAATGGCGTCGAGTCGAGCATGGAGGCTTCGGGAGTCGCTACTCCATCCGAAGGACGGTACGTACCTCTAAATCGCGAGCTTCCCATTGGCTAGATGCTCTCAAGTTGTTCATTGCCTGCTGGGAGCTCCAAAGAGCTCGGCATTGTGAATTTCTCTCCCGGATTCGGCGAGCTATCAAATCAAACGCATCATTGTAAACTCCAACCGTCACCACAATGCGCCTCTCCGGTCTCCAGAAAGAGGTTCTAGCTCTGTACCGCAGTTGCCTGCGTGAGAGCCGCAAGAAACCCGCGGTAGGTTATCCATTTGCCATCTCCAGACATTGGACGCTGTCGCCCAAGCTTTGCTACTGACGCATGAAAGAGCACTCGGGCTCATTTTGAGCAATTCGCGAGGTAGGTGCACAGCAAAGAAGCATTGCATACATGGTTGCAAATATATCCCTAACACACTGTTCGTCATCAGGGCCGAGTTTCATCGGAATCTAAGGATAGAAAAGCGGGATTTCGCCGCCATTGAGTTTCTACTTCGCAAGGGTCGGAGGCAGCTTGACGTCTACTCCAATCCTGGCATCAAGGATGTCAGGTGAAAGCAGAACATGCAGATGCCATACACGCGGTCAAGTACACCAGCACTTGCCTGTTTCTTCCTGCAGAAAGAGCTCACTGCTTAACCCTACTGCTCCGCTTCTCTCGCTCTCGACGTTTCCTGGCCGTCGCCATGTTTCGCGCTCCAGCATCCACCAAGGCCGCGTCGTGGACGAGGTGTTCTCATCATGCCTTAGTAGCTATCAAGCAGCGCATCTCGTTCATCGCAGTACTTCATAACCATTACTTGGTCTAACTTTCTTGGATAGCCTCTGTTGGAAACTTTGCTTCCACCGTCTTGCCACCATCGTGCTCGCTGGCCGAGATGGTTCCTCTAGCATCTATCCCTGAGGCAAACAATTCATTACAAAGTACATTTGATACCCATCGCCCGCGCTCCCGTGTTGTATTCCTCTCTAGACGCCCTGGCCGGCCTCGTTGCTCTGTTCGCAAATCACCATTTACAAAGCTCTTCAACCTCGGGCCACCAAAGCATGTCGGGAAGCAAGATCATCTCCGAGACAAGGATCGACAAGGGCACAAAGACGCGTCTCCTAGCACGTTGGGTAAAATAGGAGCATCACCAACATGGATAAAGACGTCATCCGATGTAAGCCCAAACATTCGACAACAGCTACACAAGTCCGAGTCTCCATTCGACCTGAGTTCTTTTCCTGAGCCACCCTCTAGCAGCAAAGTTGTGGAATCTGGCAAACCTAATCCTCATCCTTCTACGCATCCTGTAATTCAACATGCAGCGCCAAAACCTCCATTGGAGTTGTCACAGCGCAGACTTTTAGTTCCAGCACAGCGAGGACCAGCCAACATTCGCCACAGTCTGATGGATGCTGCCACGGATTTTGTCAGCCCTTCAAAGCGCCAGTCTGTTGATTCCGCACTTGTAGCGGCAGTATCTCGGAGCATTGCTCAGCAGCTTCAGCTAGTCTCAAAATATTCGGGCAGAAACTCACCTCACAACAACAACGCATCACGCACATCCAGCCAACGCTATGCCTTGAATGGTTTCACTAGAGATCTCGAGACTTACGCAAATCAGACATGTGCAAAGGGAAAGACTGTAAATACTACACCTACCCCGCCGATAGACGCCGCAACGCTTCACACAGTCTCAGAACTCCTCCCGTTTCGTCCCCAGCTTCGGGCGGCAGGGCTCGCTGTGACGTCAAAAGAGCAGGCCCAAGGCGTGCCTCATTATTTGCAGCAGCTGCAGCCAGGTCTACCGCCACCTCCGTTACGTCGGCAGCGTGGCCATGGTCGTCCACCTGCACAACTGGACGGATATAATGGTTCTCGTCCATCCCAAAGCACTGGTACGGAAATATCTTTTGCACAGTCACGGGATATAGATGAGTTCAGATACGCACTTATTGACGAAGTGCCACCTCGGAAGAAGAAACATCGACTGCGAAAGAAGCGGCCAACTCGGCGCTGTCTTCCTTGCTTCGCGGTTGAAGAAGACCTGACAACGGATCCTGACTGGGCTCACTTTAGAGTTCCTTCAGCGAGACCCAAGGTACCTGAAAAGAAACCAGTCAAAGAATTAAGACAAAATCGACCCGCCAAGGTACATCCTCCTGGTTACTTGGCCCAGGAATATGTCGGTTCCGATTGTCACAGCCCTTATCAAAAATCAACTGCACAAGAGGTAGGAAGCACAGCTGTGGATGAGACAACATACCAATGGGACAGGCCAAATTTCATCACCACAGGGCGGAGACATTCCATGACTATGCCAAAGCCCAAAGCCCGTAACGAGGAATGTTATGTTGGGCATCGGCATATGCATGGAAGAGACTCGCAACATCGAGTTGGAAAGAATCCTACGGCGGTTTTGAACAACAATAACAACAACATCACGCTATATACAGGAAATGGTGTCAGAAACTCACGTCAGGTTGGTCGCGTTCCAAAGATTGAGCCACAGTCAACCATGTCGGCGAAGCCCTCTCAACCCCAACACAATCAGCAAGCTGAAACACAGTTTGATGGCCAGGCAAACGGGCAGCAAAGAAGAGGCACGGATGTAGATCCACGCCCGCCTCGCCAAAGACCGCCCCAGACTAGGCGCAGTAAAAAAAGGCAGCCTATTTCCCAATATGACCCTCGTCATATTGGCATATGCTGCCCTTCAAGCCGGGGGGTCCCAGCCAAGCTAACCGCTCGGCCCAACATTCCCAGAAGGTCGTCATCGATTCAAGGCAGCGCAGACTCCATCGAAGTTGACTACGACGACCGAGAGATATCGGACCGCGACGTTCTTCGGGGTCTGCATGTTGCGGCTTCTGCTGCGTGTAATGAAGAGATTGATGCCTTTGTACGGAACAAAACTGGTCTTCGCATTCGTCGTTTTCTCGCTGACCTGATGGCACTGGAAACCCTTACGGCTTCTCGACCTGGGGAAGATGATGAACAACACGCAAGACGAAGGCGAATGGAGATGAGAAAACTCAAGCAACAAGTTCGGCGATCCCGTGAGATCGTTATGGCTGGCGGGCTTATTTGAGTGTGTATTGGATTTGCAGTGGTTAATGAGGTTGCTTGCCGGAGACTCTTGAAAGGGGTTAATTTTGTATGATTAACACTGTTCAGTGTATGCTAGTGCAACAAGGCTAAAATACTCGTTTCAAAACAAAGCAACAGAGTATAGAGCAAGTTGCTTAATAACTGTGCTTCGCATATTTGCAGCCTCTTGTTTCTCGTCTTTCTCATTTTCAACTTTCACTGGTGGTTGGTCAAACAACTCCATGTATAAGCAAAAGAAAGTCTTCAGATTCATATATTAAGCACTGGTAATTTTTTGATTCAAATCCATGACACATGATATAATCACATGTCAACAACCGTCATTCTTTATTATTTACACACAGCCTCCTACCTACCAGGAGATGCTAATACGCAGGAGAAGTCGCGCCCAAGCTTCTTCTCCAAGGAATTCAGCACCAGATTCCACACATTCATGTCATACGCCTCGCCGATATGACCGACAAGATCAGCCGGGCAATAATCCTGCACGTAAATGTTATTCACGCCCGGCTCATGGACAAAGGAAGTCTCGGTGGGCGTCACCAGCTCGTCAAGCTTGGACGTGATGACGGTGACGACGGTGCCCGGCTGCACAATGGGCGATCCGTCGTTGAGTCTCTGGACGGCAGCGCCGCCAGTGACCAGGTCCGCGCAGGCCTTGCACCCAAAGGCCCCGAGGACGTCCTTGGCGCCCCTCTCGACGCCCAGCAGCTCGGCGAGGCTGTACAGGCCAGCGAGGGAGGTGCCGTGCGTTGGGGGGGCGATGGCGACAAGGGCGTCGACAATGTGGTTGACGCTGCCGAACTTGGTGGTGTAGAGGGCTTGGAATGCGCCCTCGGAGTGCCCGACGAGGTCGACTTTGCGAGAGCCCGTGGCCCGGTGGACGTTGCGGATGAAGGAGGCGATTTGCGGCGACGACTCGCGGATGGGCTTGAGGCCGCCGACGAGGGGGAAGCCGTCGTAGGCGCCGTAGGTGAGGGAGAAGGTGCAGAGGCCTTTTGTGCGCAGCCAGGCCTCGAGCCGGTTGAGGTCTTGGCAGGAGGTGGCGCCGAGGCCGTGGAGGAGCACGACGGGGTTGTGGCTGGATTTGCAGGAGAAGTCGTTGTGGGAGGAGGTTGAGGGTGAGGTTGGTGAGGTTGTCGGGATGGCGCCCGCTGCGACTGCCGCTGCCGTGGCCAAGGCGGAGAGGGTGAAGCGCTTCATGGCACTGGTAGGGTGCCGGAAAATGTATGCCGGGCTTCTAACTGCCGTCTAGGAAGCCAGACTGGTCAAGTGTAATATTGTGGCGTCCTGGGAAAGAGGAAAGACGGATGAGATATACCCCCTTTCGACTCACGCGCCATCATCACGTTGGACACTGCAATGCGACAAGTAACGAAATGGTCGGAGCGCCGCGGCTCGTTCATACTGAATACTGAGCGGTACTGCGTGCGTGACTGAAAGTTGTGTGTAGACGGGGCACTCCTTAGACGAGAAAAAGAAAAAGAAAACATCACAGCTTGGAGATGAGAGCGTGTCAAGTGCACGCTGTAGACAGCTTCATGCGACGCAACGACGTTTGCCCGCATCCATGTAGGGGATTACACACGCATAGCGCATTTTTTTGAATACGCGTCGCGCGCTAGTCCTAATTAGGCTATGGAATTTCCTTACGGCCACATCAGGCTGTAAGACACCCCAGCTGCACAGCATATCTACACAATGGCTGCCTTTCAATTTCATCAACACACAACGATGTCATCCCTAAGTTTACAGTCATCTTATGCCACCGCCGAAGCGGCCATCGGCGCGATCAACACCATACAAGCAAGCGAGGGATTTGTGACTGTGAAATCCGGCGGCGGTTATTCGAGACGCACGGGGCTACGAAACTTCTATTATATTCGATGCCAACACAGCGGCAGCTACAGGCCAAGCACCTCAAATTCAAACATTTACAAGACCTCGTCAAGGAAATCCCAGTGTCCGTTCAAAGCCCAAGTACGGCTGAATCCTCACGAAAACACCTGGGTTCCTGTAATCAAGGATAGCCAACATAACCACGAACCGGTTCTTTCTCCCCTAGATTCAAGCATTCTACGGCTTCGAAGCCAACAAAACTACGGCCTAGAAAAGATTCAGTCCAGGGTCAAAACCCTCAGTCAGATGAAAACGTTGACCGCGAAGCAAATCGCTGCGCGAATTATGAGCGAATGCCCCAATGTCTACATTATCGACACGGAGGTGTTTTTCATGCAACGTCAATTACGCCCCTCAAATCCTAACTCCGGGACATCAGCACAAAATTCAGCGTCAAACCAGCTTGCCGCAGAATCTGCGTCGCAAGCCTCGTCGCGAGCATCAACACCAGCTTCTAGCGACACACCAGCTTCTAGCGACACACCAGCTTCTACCGCCTCAAATCGCGGTGGCATCAGGCGGCGGGGTCGCGGCCGGCAACGACACACCATGGCCAGCCTCGTCGCGCGGGTTGCAGAGCTGGAACAGCTTGCTGGTACTGCTACGGCACGAATGGAGGCCCTCGCGAATGCCGTCATAAGCTCACACCAAGCTGCCATTACTGCGATTCAAGCCTCACAAGCACCATGGACTAACTTGCCTTTGACGCAGTCAAGAGAAGGAGATTTTACCGGCAGCGCACCTGTTTTTACATCAATGCCAAGTCAGGCACTCTTTGGGGACCCTGTTGGCGCGGCTGCTGGTCATGTTCAATTTGTGCAATACGAGCCGCCGGCACAGGGCCGTTGAGAGCTTCAAGTAATGATAGCACACATCCTTGAGAGACGTCAGAAAACGCACTTTTGAACGTAAACCACGCACAAAGGCGGGCGCAAGGTTGTACATGGGATTGAATGGACGCAGGCCACACCAAATTTGTATGGGTAAGGCATCCATCCGATTGGGGGCTAGTGGTATATGTGCATTCGATTTTTGTAGTATGTATGTATGCATTTAGGTGCCCGTTAGGTAGCGTGAACTGGGCAGGGTACCAATATTTTGATCATCTTCGTGGAAAGGGGGACCTCGTCGACAAGCAGGTCGTGGAAATTGGTTGTGGCGTTGTTCTGACAGGGCAACTGTTATACATGCTACTTCATCCGCATTGGAGGATGAGGCAATCATCACTGCAGGTGACTTGTGATTTTCAGTCACAAAAGCAACGCTCTCTATACCCGTCTTCGCCGGCCGCCCAAGACAGTAAGTCGACTGGGCTGGCTGAGGTCTATCAAATGCTCGGCAAATCCAGTCACTGGCAAATGCAAAAAGGAAAGAAGAAAGGTCTTGTCAAAAAATGGCATAGCTTGTCAGAAACTTTGTGAGGCGCGATTTCGCAGACGCCGAATGAAATATAGTCAGGTCATGACAATTCCAATTCTTCTACTCCGTAGTCAAAGCTACAAGTGCTGCTTGAAACGCTCGAGCGTCCTTGGGCCCCAAGTATGGACATTGCCTTTGTTGGCCAAAAAAAATCTTATAATCTAACCGTGTACATGTAGCCGTGACGAACCTCAATGTTCGTATGTACATCACAAATGCGGCAACAAGGGACCATGGCCGCCCTTCACCATGAGCGGCACCCTCAGGCCGGCCTCGTCCCTCCCCGTGCTCAGCAATCCCTGGATCCGCGGCCACGCCTGACGGAACTGGTCGCAGAAGAGGCCCTCGGCAATCTCGCTGCCCACCATGCACCCCAGGATGTAGCCCGTCACGAGGTTGCTCACGTACAGCAGGCCCTCCACCTGGGTCTCGTCGAGGGAGGCGTACGCCGACCTGCACATGCCGTCGCATGGGGAGGCGAGATCCTGTGAGCAGTCCGCGAGCAGGCCCGCCATGTAGGATGCCATGCTCCCGTCCGGGTGGCGGAGAGCCTCGGTCGCGGCGTTTTCGTCCAGCGGCGCGTGGAAGCCGGTCATGTAGAATCTCATGAAGCACTCGAGGCTGTGCTGGACTCGGGGGGCTGCTTCATCAGCCTCTTGGGGCGCCTTGCTGCGCAGGTCATCTGCGTACAAGGGGCTTAGGGATGCGCCGCTGAAGTTGGTCATCGAGTGGAGGATGAAGCCCGTGTCCGTTCGGAGGTGTTTGATGGAGTTGTCCGGGTCGAACGACGGCGGCACCACGTTGAGGAAGCTCTCGACGAGGGCTTTGATGTCCTGGCTGTTTGAGACGGTGATTTGGTGCTTGTGGGGAGAGATGTACCACGCAGCCTGGATTTCCTTCTTGGAGACCATGGTGAAGTGTTGGTGTTTATGTATGGGAATGCTGATTTTTGACTGTTTTTGCCGTTGAGGGGAGGATGAGAGGATTTTGAGCACATGTGTTGCATCAGATACATGGCCATTTTATTTGACTTGGTCATGGTATTTTTAGGAGTCGAAACCCCGTACAAAGAGGTGCTTCTCTTTGTCGATTCACGGCGCCGCTCGAGACCATGGTGATACACTCATCTTTGTTGCAACTGTCGCGGGCAGCTTGTGGCGCTTTGATGAATAGCTGTTACGGCCAGGGATGGCGAATCGTCCGTCTATTTGGGTAAAATAGCTCCAAGGCTTAGGCAGAGCTCGTCACCGTCCGCTAGCACGCGATCATCGCAGGTCTCCTATCAGAGACCTTGAGATGACAGTTATCCGCAGCCCTTATTCTCACAATTTAGTATCACTATTCCACTGGCGTACGGACGCATCTTACTAAACAACAATTGCTATGCCATCCAGCAATGTCGTCAGTCTTTGCCGCCTCATTGTCCATGAGAGTTGTGGTGCATCATGTCCATGGTTAAACCAAGTCGGTTTCACCAAGCACAAAGGTAAAACATACCCCGAATCCCACAACAAAAAAAACAATCAACAATGCGCAGCACAGCTGCCAACTAGTGCAACCATGTAGGCCTTACTTATTAAGTGTGGAAGTGAGCAAAAAACAAAGTCTGATGAGACTGGGACTCGAACCCAGGAGGATTGCTCCATCAGGAAACAGGGTGTTAAGGTAACCTTAACCTGACGCCATAACCAACTCGGCCATCTCACCGATTGCTTGTTGCATCACGTGCGGAGTATTTTGGTATATAGACGTAGCATCAATGATTAGGTTTGTTCTTCGTGTTGTCTGTAGATATGTTTGTTTTCATGAGATATCGCTCTCTTTACTTTTCTTAGTGATATTAATAATAATGGTTGGTCAAATAAATGGAGCTGTATCAGTGACAAGACGTTTGCATTCAGAAGCATTGGATCGACGCTTGCGGTTGCCAGAAATCAAGCATCAAGGCCCGCCGCCAACAAAGAGCATCTGTCGGGGTTAATTCACATAACACACCAGAGTCCCTACTCGATGAACCGCCGGAGCAAAACCAATTCAGTTCATCCAACGTGCACCCGCTGCCTACGCTAGCACACAAATGATTCTCGCATTCTAACAAGCAGCGACTCGTGGGGGAATATCATCGCGTCCTGCTTTAGGGTAGGTAACTACTCTCTAGTACCTCTTTGCTCTGTGAAGTTGTTCTGAAAATAACATTGAGTGCTGCCTAGACGCTTCGCATTCAAGTACACATAGTTCCAAGTTATGTTGTAGCCACCATTGACCTCAACACTGACTTTTCCGACCGAACCTTATTCACTTGGTGCCGTCAAGCATAGCTAACGGCCTCGGGCAATGTTGACCAGACCGAGAGCTGACAGATAGTTTGTGCACTTTGCCTTCCCCGCACAGCCCGAATGTGTCAGCAGCACTGCAGCAGCATTTCCGGAGCTCCCACGTTCTTCATCACTTACGATATTAATGCCTTGCCATTGAAGCTAGACGCGAATCCTGTGGCCTGACTAAGTGACATTATTATATCACATTGGCTAAAACCTCATCTCCTCTGACCCTGACCATGACATCGCCCTTTCAATCATCCGATATCAATGCTTTCCGCAGCAATTTCACTAGCGCGGAGACTGACCGAGAGCATCTACTTCGGTGTTGGGCACACAAAACCTGTGGGGGATGCTTAGCTTCGTACCAATGCAGTTGGTGTCCATATGTGAGTGCAGCAGTCATCTCTCCTCTGCATCATTCACAGTCATAAGCTTATAAAATGTAGACGTGGGCATGCATCCCAAACTCATACAGAGTCCCGCTATTGGCACCAGTGTACAATGAACGAATCTGCCCTCATCAAATAGAGCGATGGGAGGTGCGCACCCATCCATTTGGGTGCCATGTGTCGACTATAACGAGCTTGACGGCCATTTTCTCCGTTGTGTCAACTTTGATCCTCGTCATCATAGTGCTCTTCGTCATGGTTTTGATCCGGCGAGTCCGGCAATACTCCAAGCAACATCCCAACTGGCGACAGTATTGGAGGCAACCCCGGCGTATACGTGGGCAACCTGACCATTTACCACAGGAGCGGGATCCTCTGCTTTCCTGGCAGGGGGGCAGCCAGGCAGAAGGTGCCTAGGCGTCGCCTTGCAGGCATCATCAGCCCATATTCCAGAGCGAGACTCGGCTCCAGCACTACTGATTCAGGCAGTGCACGCGGGTGTAATAACACAGCACACAGATTTAATGTCTATCAACAAATCCTGATCATCAACCAGAGCTGACCGGAGGTATGATGGCAACCTCATCAGACTCTTGAATCATGGGCCCATTCGCATCGCCGGCATCGGGGACATCTACGTAGTCGAGGTTGACCGTAACCAAGCAAGAGTCCAAAATCTTGGCCTGGATGCCAGGATACTTATACTCAAGCTCGGCAAAGAGCTTGCTCAGCAGCAAGGGTGCGGGCCAAGCCTCTTCCTCTTTGCCAGTAAATGAGCTGGCACCAGCGAAATAAAGCACCCGGAAGTGACCCTGGGGAGCCTTGGGTATCGAAGTCATCGCTGCATGTAGAGTATGTGGGTTCTATATTGCAATCACGGCGTCAGTAACCAGCTCGGTCCAAAATTAGTCATTAAGGAAAGCGAAAGGTAAAGGCCTGAGTCAGAGATCTTGGTGATAAAAAAGTACATCAAAGAGTATTCAGGTAATACATGCTATTAAAGCATCATTCCAGGTGCAGAAAAAAAAAGAGAATAGTAGGTGCAGCTGTGACTTACCAAAATGACCACTTCATACTTTGTATTTATATACAGATGCAATGGCACTTCATCCAGCGAATTTGCATGAAGAAAAAGTTCAGGTTGGTGGGAGGAGCAGCTCAAAAGCAGAATTAAATGCAGCGCGAAAAGACCCGCCACGTGACTATTATTCTACTAACAGCTAGCGGCACCGCCCGCCGAGTTGAGCGGTGGAGTCGATTGCAACGACGTGAACAAAGCAAAACTGCGACTTTGTGTTTATTGGGTATCATAGTGCAAGATGGAGCGCAGAACACTTAGGACAGTTTAGCCATTCGCTCTTCCAGGTCTTTCACCCAACCTTCCATGACTTTCACGTTACCCTTCACTGTAACATCACCGTCCGTCATGGCGTTTTCCATCTTCTCAAGACCTTCCTTCCACTGCTTCAACTCCTCCGTCATTTCAGCTTGCTGTGTTTCAATGCGCTCGAGAGTCTGGCTTGCGGTTGCGGCATCAGCATGGATTGCACGAAGCGATCGCAGACGGTCTAGCAATGGAGGCAGCATAGGCGTGAGGTTCTCGATTGTGGGCAGAATCCCATACAGTGCATTGATCTTGGATTCTTGTTCCGACGCATCAGTCGATGATTGACCTTGCTTGCCGAGTTCTTCCCTTAGTGCCTTGGCCTTTTCCCGGGACTCGTTGAGCTTATCTTGCTCCGACGCCAAGGTTCGCACGCGCCGGGTAATAGCATCTAGATTCGAGGTCGATGCCTGGGCCAGAGTTGAAATTTGCTTTTCCATATTATCTAGAGTGTGCAATATAGCCCTTGGCAGTCCATTTGCACGGGCCTCAGATAGTGATGACGCGCTGATTCCAAGGGTTTTCTCCAACATGAGCAGCCGTCGGTCAAAATCGGCAGCCTTGGCAAGGGCATGGCTCTGTTCGTAAGTCGGTGCGTAGGTGACGGTATATGTAGGGCCGTCACCTGCAGGGACCTCGGGCTTGCTGGTTGACGGCGGGAAATGTGTCTTCGCCATGCCACGAGAGGTCTCGAGACCGGCAGGTTTGGCTATATCATCAAGGACTTGACTTAAAGTGTCCAATCTTTCGTTGGAAAGGACTTTGCCTCCAGCTTCTGCAGTAGTTGTAGCAGTGGCGGCTTTACGCTTTGCATATTCCTCCTTCGCCTCCTCGACCTCTCTCTTTAGTCGTGCAATCCTCCTTTCCAAGCCCTCGTCATCGTCATCGTCGGACAGGTCGCCAAGTTCATATGTGCCATCTTCTAGTATGCGCTGGCGGCGACTGGACGCCTTGTATGATTTTCGTTTCCCATCGACCCGATCTGAGAAGTCTACCCCGTTCGCATCGACGTTGGCGGGCAAGAAACGTGAGCGAGCCTCATCGATGCGCAATCTGGTTCTTGAGATACCGTGGCTGTCTTCGTCTTCGTCAACATCGTAGAATTCGTCATCGGATTGTGCCCTATTCGCAGTAGTCTGCACGTAGATAAGCAGCGGAATACTACAAAGGATCAAAAGGGGGCAACATACGGGCACGGTGGAGTTATCATCAGTTAATTCGGGTGTCTCGTAAACGTCTGGAGCCGAATCCTATCATTATATGAGCATCGTCAAACATCGAGTTGCTTGTTGACTTCAAGGGCGGTTTACCAGATCCGGCAGAGCCGCATATTTGCGATTGAGTGTCGCCATCGAGGTGGCTTGTCTGGGTTGGTGACTGGGAATTCGGCTGATGTGACGCGTTACAGGGCTGCCCTCCCACGGAGCGGAAAGCTTTGTTCTGTAGAGCTGAAAAGATCCAGACGGATATCGATGGCCTGGGTACTATCTGGTGACCTGTTGTCTTCCGTCGGTATGAGCGTAGTTGGTGAGTCGTGGCACAGAGGTGAGTGAGTAGTGAGTCCAGGGGCTCCACCGCCGCTGCCCATGTGCCTGGCAGTTATTCAAAGTTTATCGTGCCTGCTTGCTTCTGCAGACATGGAATTACAGCACTGGAGGGGGGTCCCCACACGTGCATGCATGTGTGCACCAGACCAGACAGTTCAAACCACCTGAATGCCTAGAGGTGGCTTTGGTCGCGTCCCCCCAGCGCCGATTTCAGGCACGCGTCCACTTAGTCTGATGCCGGACCGGCGAGGCGGATGGAAAGACGTTTGAATTGCTAACATCTTGACCCTTACAGAGCATGTCAGAATACTTGCAATTATCTTGTACCTTGTCCGAGCTAAACCTTCTGTTTCCAACCAACGAGATCATTTCAAATCGACGGCCTGGCCCCGGTATTAGGCTGGACAGCTCGCATTCAACTTCTCTTGCCTCAAGTCCTTGGAGCTCCCTACTATTGTGGCTGACAACCCGGCCAGCATGCTGGAGTAAGGTGCTGAACATATTTTGAAGGCACTCTGACCCTCTGCGTCAGCGACAGGCCGATGAACTCTCATTTCCCGATATCTAGCTTCTAGGCAAACACGATGCCGATTCTCAACAATCAACGCGGACGGACAATGGCTGTAAGGAGAGTTGGTCAGAGCAAGAATGATCCAGCGCCTCGTCTTCTGAGTATAGTCGGGGGCTCATCAAGACAGAAGGTGGCCGAGAATGTTGACGATCCTCCGGTTTCTAGCGATGACGAGGGCGAATCCGACAATACCCTTGAAACTGACAGTCCTATGAACGCAATGAGTCAAAGAAAATCACCCCTCAAAGGCAGTCAAACCAGCAGGGCGCGAAATACGAAAAAAATTTCCTCTTTTGTTGGCAGCTCGGATAGTTGTGGGGATGGAGATGAGCGAGTAGTGCGCGCGAACATCAAAAGCACTAGCTTTGACACGCCGCAACAAACCCGAAGCAAAAGAAAGGATTCACCTATCGAACGAGAAGAGCAACCGGAAGATTTAGACAGCAAAAGACGTAAAACGGGTACTCAACGTAAAGAACCTAGGAACACGCCGCCGACCAGCTCCGGAGAACATTTGAAAAATGAACTAGGGCTTCCAAGAACCAGGAAATCCAAAGTCACATACAAGAGAAGAGAGCAGAGCTCACAGGAACAACCGGTTAGGAAAGGTTCGACAGATACCCGAGTAATTTCTCGGTCGATTCCTTCTGGTGGAACAGGGAAGAAGAAAGAGCCCGCCAAGCTACAGGTGCCCTCTTCGTTGCCCTCTTCGCCACAGAGCCTCGAAACGGCAAAAATGGACAGACTTCGGTTGCCTTCCGGCCCTAGTTCTTCATCGCCTCCTAGCAAGCCTACACTCAAGCTGTACAACTCAATCAAGTCACCACAACAGTCTGCTCGTAGCAGGCGGCTGAAAAAAAAGGAGAAGTCAGAAGCAAAAGGAAGGTCTCCATCTCCGCCTCCTGCAATTTTCAAAATGCCCGTGTCAATATCAGACCTACAGCTTCGATCGCCAAGGAAAGGCAGAATAGAAGAACCATTAACAGACGACCCTTCGGACATGGAGAACCAAGATGGCCAGACCGCAAAACCAAGTGCGGACGATGGAATCAAAAGCGTGGAAGCAGAAACGGTGTGTCCTTGGTGCGGAGAACCCGTTGATAAGAAGTTCCTTGACGATTTTGCCAAGGGTAGACGTTTAAATGTGCGGCTACAAAGCAAATTTTGCCAGAAACATAAGAAACAAACAGCCAAGGAACTTTGGCAGCAGAAGAGCTATCCAGAAGTCGAGTGGGATGGGCTGGAAGACCGATTCGAAAAATATCATAAATTGTTGCTTGGTGTCATAAACGGAGGAGCCTCACACTTCCGTTTCATCCATGAGAAGAACATTTTATCTGGAAAAGCGAGGTCCATGAAGAAAGAAGACAACATGGTTCCAGGATACTACGGACCACGCGGGTTCAACCTGATGTGTGACTATTTGGTTAACGAATTTAGCGAGTTGCTGAGGGAGAAAGCAGTGGATGACCGGGTGATTGCTGGCCGTGGATCCGCAGCCTTCATTCAGACCGTGCTCGTGGCCGAGCTGGCAATGCGCTTGATTATGGAAGACATGAAGGTTGCTGAGGAGGAAGCCAGGGCTATCCTGGACGAGAGCAAGGCTTTGGGTGAAATGATCCATGGAGAGACATGATTTTGATATATAACCGAGTGAGAGCGACTTGTGTGCATACACTTTACGTGTAGAAATTGCATGGACGGCACATTTATTTGTACTGGCTAAATGAAACTGGCTGTCTACCTAGGTCATCGTCGTTTGTAGTCATGCCTGAGCAGTGGGAAGGATTATGTTATAGTGTCTATATAAAAGAAAGGGCATTCGGTACACTCAAAGAAGTAAAGCAATGGCCTCACACGGACCCATCTGAATCTCTCCAGCACGCACGTCGCCAATCTGTTTTCCGGTTGGGCTCACTAGAACCTCGCGAGCCTCAAAACCACTCGACCACACCACTTTGTCCGTGGAGAAATTGCACACCACAAGGGCAGCGTCCCCATTGCCAGCAACCCTCTTGTACGCAAATATCTTGTCGTTTTGCTCGTCAACAAGCTCAAAGTAGCCGTAGACAAAAATATCCATGTGCTCCTTGCGCTTCTCCAGCACCCGTCGGTAAGTATGGTACACCGACCGAGGGTCCTTGACCTGAGTCGCGGCGTTGATGTCCTTGTAATTATCATTTACACGCATCCACGGAGATGACGCGGTCGTGAAACCGGCCTGCGCAGAGTCGTCCCACTGCATTGGCGTGCGGGCATTGTCCCTCGACTTCTTTTGATATTCCCCCCTGAGAAGCGTTTTGGTGCTGTCGTCCACCGTGTCCTTGAATAACCTGTACACTGTTAGCAACTCCCTTCTCCTATCTCCTTCTCCCTCACCCCCCCCCTTTTTTTTTGTCGTGGTGGGGAAAGGGCTTCAAAGGATAACCTACTTCCAGTGATTCAAGCAATCTATATCCTTGTACTCATCCATCCCCCACTCCTTGGGGACGTTCGTCATGCCAATCTCCTGCCCCTGATAGATAAAAGGCGTGCCAGCCTGAAACGCCAAAAATATAGCAATCAGCTTGGCGCTGGCTACTCTATGCTCTGGCGTGTCGTGGACGAAGCGGCTCACGGCGCGGGGTTGGTCGTGGTTCTCGAGGTAGAGGGCGTTCCAACCGTTGTTGTCGTACATGAAGCGCTGCCATTTGTTGACTTTGGACTTGAGTGTTGAGAGGGCCCATGTTGCCGGGGAGAACTTGCCGTTTACACCGTGGTCAATGTCCATTCTGTGCTTGTTGGTCAATACGGTTCCGCGGTAGGCATATAGCTGATGCATGATTTTGGGGCGAGGGGGGGAATTGGCTCCGCATAGACGTACAGTTCAAAGTGGAAAATCATGCTCAGTTCCCCTCGATCAGCAGCCACGGCTCTAACCAGCTCCTTCTCGTCGTGCACACATGGCATTTCACCGACACTGAAGGCGTCGTATTCTTTCAGAATGGCACCCAGTTCCATTAGGTACTCGTGGAGCCGTGGCCCGCAGGCATAGTGCTCCGTCCCGCCGAGGACGGTTTTATTCGAATCAGGGAACGACTGGTCTTTGCTGATGAAGTTGATGACGTCGATGCGGAAGCCATCTGCACCGCGGTCGAGCCAGAAGCGCATCACGTCGTGGGCGGCTCGGCGGACGGCTGGGTTTTCCCAGTTGAGATCTGGCTGTTGTTTGCAGAAGAGGCGGAGGTAGTATTCGTCTGTTGTTTCGTCGTATTCCCAGGCGCTACCTATTGTTTTGATGACGAGGACATTTAATTTCTTTCTTTCTTTCTTTTTTCTGCCCGGGCGGGATTTGAAGTGGGAGAGCAAGTACCTTGGAAGTGACTCTGCCAGTTATTAGGAGGGCATCGATTGCCCTGCTCATCGTACCTGGGTGGCTTCCAGATGTACCAATCTCTGTATGGGTTATCCTTGGACTTTCTCGACTCCTTGAACCACTCGTGTTCGTCGCTGGTGTGGTTCATGACGAGATCGAGGACGAGCTTCATGCCTCGCTCGTGGAGGGCGTCGCGGAGGACATCTACGTCGGTGATGTCGCCATAGGGAGGGTCGATTACTTTATAGTCGCTGATATCATAGCCCTTTGATTTTTGTAATGGATTGTCAGTTGAATTGCACTTTTGCTTTCCTCATCCTGGGTAGGCGGAGTCGCAGTGTCGATGGCAGGTCGAACCATGTCATGTTGAGGACTCTTGAAAATCGGCGACAGCCAAACAATGTCCACTCCCAGTTCCTTCAAATAATCAATCCGTGATATGATCCCCTTCAGGTCACCGACTCCCGAGCCGGTGGAATCTTGGAACGACGCTGGGTAGACTTGGTATACGGAGCCCTCTTTCCACCACGCCCTCTGCGGTTCGGATATACTGCCCATTTTTCTTTTCGATTGTTTCCCCAAGAAAAAAAAAGAGACTCAGGATAGCCGTTCAAGTGCAGACGGCGTTGTCGTTATTTTCCAGCTGATATGGGGACCATGAATTGGGGAGATGCATAGTAGTACTAGTATTTCGTTCACGAATGCCGGTCCGAGATGCGGGGCACTTCATGGCGAGGGAAGGTCGTGTTTGAGGATTGTTTGGCTTTGTGGAGGCCCTATGTCATTAAATCGGGTTTTGGATGGATTGTGTGTAACCTAGACCTGGTACTATCATCCTTCATTGGATAGTTCCGAGGATCTGGGAACGGTGAGGTGCAGAAGTGTACAGTGAGAGGTTGCAACACGATGTGGTGTGGAGACGCAGCTGAACGACGATACTACGCGGGGTTCTCATCACCTTGATGTTCTACAGGACGGGAGAGTAAGTATTGGAGAGAAAAACTGGCTTGACAAAGACCTACGTAGGTATTTACCCTTCTCTGGATACTTGTTTCGCTTTCATGTCAATTTTTCAACTCGACCAGATCAACCAAGCAAAAGTCCCATTTGTGGATCGAGGCGGAAGATATGGGGGAACCTGACAACATGCAACGCAACCATTTCTAGCTTCACGACCCCGCATAGCACATAGTGCAATCGCTCATCCATCTGAAATATATATATGCTACCACCTAGGTAGGTAGGTAGTAATATCAACGAGAACAGTTGTACTCCCTATCTCTTGAGCTGCGGAACGGCTTGCGGAGACTTTGAGAAAATTGTTAGGCAGAGGGACCTGCGCAAGCCATTCCGCGGCTCAAGAGATCGTTACCTTGAAAAAGAAAGCATCCGACGCCGTCATATGCCCCCAAGCCTCTCGGCCAACACTCACAAAAAGCAACCAACGTCCTCCCTCTCAAACTTTAAGTATTTGAAATACCATCAGCAACCGCACGCACGTCCCCAGACATGAAATGTCTCAAGCAAAGAATAATCAGCATCGGTGCCCAAAGTCCACGACGCTTCGGGCAACTTGATGTAACTACGAGCTGGCATTAGTGAATGAAGGAAGCTCAAGTCTCTTGGCGACGCATGTTGTGTCACGGTTTCGTGGAGAGATGTGATGGACGGTTTGGTGGCGGCGTGAAGATGAGTAGGATAGGAATGCCCACAAACCGCCGCAAAATTATATTTGCCAACAGTCAAGTCTACACTGCGGTGCTGCAATATGCACGATGGCATAGGGCCGAGTGTCGTGTGGATATTTACTATGCTTGCAGGTTCGGCGTGGGGTGCCTTCTTGTGTTGTGGTACTTCGTACTCCGCAAGTAGACGAAGACTACTCCGTACTCACGGCATTTATTACGGGGAGTTGCGACAAAACCCCGTAGGTACGGAGTACTAGTAGTACTAATAAGCTTTGCATCAAAAAGATGAGACGAGGCAGAAAAGCATCGACTGGCTATGGCAGTCACTGGCGAGATTGGCGACATGCATTATGGATGATGTGTCGGCCAGCTTGAGAGACATGTTTATTATTTTGCCCCAGTTCGGCACCCGGCTCATACAGGGCTCAGAGTTCGGACGAGACAAAGCAGAGACGGTCAATGCCGAGAATAGCTGCCGTGGATCTCGAGTGTGGTTGTGTGCAGGCATGCGAGCTGGTGTTTGCGAGCGATGAAAAAAAAAGGAACGGCAGAGATTTGGAATAATGCGACTTGATGTTGTATCAACTCGGCTGTGCCTGGATTGACGGCAACTTCCGCACAAGCCTTGACGAAATATTTGCAGCTTTGTGGCACCGCCCGAGGGCACAAGGCGCACACGCACCTGGGCCATGGAGAGCAATAATACGCGGCGATATTGTTATTATATTGGCACCCATTTGGCTACGTATGAGCAGAAAGCCAATTTAAATGTGCACAAACTGCTGATGCTAGTGTCAATGTGCAACGGTACGCGGTACACTGTGGGGGCAATTGTTTGCGGTCCGAGAAGCGGAGCCAGGCCAGCGGCTGCGGGAGAGACAAATGCACAGATCACTTCGCGGCCACGGCATAACGTGACCCATGCCCCATGGACCCATAGGCCCCTCCCATGGGTCCAGTTGACCCATCGACCCGTTGACGTGTGGTCAATGGTCCAACCATCTTGCCATCCGAGCCGACTAGTTCCTGCCCCCCCATGTCGCTCACGCTAGCATTTGAACTGCCTTTTTGATGTCCAGTCGTTGCAACTACTACGGCAAATCTTCACGGCCGGCGCACGACCGATGGAGATCCATGATGATAATACAGAAAAAGAAAAAGATATACAGGTTGAATATTACCGGGAGTCGCGGCGTGCCATGAAGAAAATCTGTGGATAACATAGCGAAACATGCCGCGGTCGCGCGACTGCCGATTAGCCCATCCAGGCCTGGCCGAGACGTGGCTCGTCGGAAGACACACCCCGTGCCATTTGGTTCAACTGATACTCGTAACTGCGGTACTGGCAAGACAAGACGCTTCAGCACAATCTTGTCTGGGCTCCGTGTCTATTGAGTTGTTTCGCAGCGGACTGGGACATGAATGGTATCATTGCTCGCCATGGAGTTATGGAAGTAGACTCGGATAAGAAACACAATGCTTTGTGTTTTGTTCAAAAAAACCTTAATAATGGCGGAAAAGAATACATGCATGTGTGGTAGGCGGGTTGTCGCGCCTTCCTATTAGCCAGTACGGAGTATGTATTCGCGATGGGTTCGGCTTAGAGCTGGTGCTCGGCAATTTGTGACTTTTAGCGCCTTGTCAAAGTTCAAAGCCCAAGGCTTATTTTGAAACACGGTGTCTCAACATGGGTTTTGATGGAAGATGCGACACCTCGGCCACGGACGTTTGGATGGTTGGATATGAGATGGCCAGACGAGACCATCCGGAGCCTTCCACAGGAGGCCAAATCGCAGCAAGTCAATAATACATGACGGCATCAGGCATTCGGCTTCCGACGTACGCGGCCGACATCCAATGACACAACCCGGGCGCCCAACAAGGCGCAAGTCTAGTTGGCGGCACTCCGTACTGGGTGGGCATTCGGTGTGCGATTTGGTCCAAGTGATGGGTGGTGCATTGGCCCATCTACTGGCGTGTCGATGGTCCATTTCGATGCTGGCAGCCCGAGGAGCCCCTGCGGCGAGATGCTTGCCAGGCTGGAGACGAGGGACTAGTAATATTGCAAAGTCGCCATTAGAGCAAAAAAATAAAATAAAACGACGCCGAGGAGATTAGGCGGCCCCCAAGTACGGAGAACGGACTCGATGCCATGGCACTTGCTCCAGGGAGCACCTGGCACAACCTGGCAGCCTGGGCTTCATCAAGTTCGAAGTCTGGTCCCTTGTACTGTGTACATACACCGTACCTCGGCACTCCAGTACTTGGCATGCTCCAGGTGACTGATGCCGTATGTATGTACGGAGTACCTACAAGTACCCAGGTATCCGAGTGCTTAGTGCCAAAAGGCTCCATCGCGCCAGGCGCCACCAGCTCCATGCTCCATGATTCCATGCCTCCATGTCGATGGCTCTATGGCTCTATGGCTCCATAGCGCCATGTCAACTGTCTGGTGGTCAACTGAGTCTCCCGTCGGGTCGCAGTTAGTGCCGCGCCCGCAGCCTGGTGCGTGAGCGTGAGCGTGAGCGTTCGCCTCCAGCCCACTCAAGCGTCAACTGGTTGTCTTCATCCAGCTCCGCTCCATTTGATCAAATCGTCTCTGGTCTCGGCCTACTCCGTACTTCACGGGCACTTCGCCAAACCTCAATCTGCGCATCACAGCCTTTTTTTGCCGCGTCACATCATTCCGCACCCCCTTTGCTGGAGCTACCGCAACTCGCTTGGCGTTGTGTTCGACAATTTAGCGCTGAACCGCCGAATCCGACCCATCCACGAGACCTTTGCCCATCTTTCCCGCTGCGTGTGCGAGCTCACCACCACCAACAAACCAACAAGCCCGATACCCTTGACAAACCGCCGACCGCAGTTCGTGCCCCCCGAATGTCGCCCAGGACATGAATGCGCCTAGATCCGAATACACCTTGCTAAGGACATGGCCGACGCTTGCGCAAGCACGGCCTGCCGACAATGACGGACAATGAGGCCGTCTCCCGCATCAGCTCGTATACGAGCGCGAGCGCGAGCACCGATAGCACTCGATCTTCCATGACGGCAATGCCCCCGACGCCGCCCCTGGCGTCCATGAGCGCGCGGCGAGGATCCAGCATGCGCATTGCCACAGACGGTGGCTATCGCTGGAGGTTAGTCATCTTGAAATCCCTTGGCCACGCTTTGGTTTGGAACAACATGTGTGTCTGCGGTATGGTGCCTGGCCGCGGAAGAGGAGAGCATCGTTATTTTGAACATTGCCATCATTTCTACACCTGGGGCACCCCCATTCTGTCGACCTGACGGTTACCCTCAATTGCCGTGTCAATGCTACATCAAAAGGCTCGGTTGTGGCCCGGCTAACAAACCCCGGCATTAGAACCTCCAAGGACGATGCCCAAGTCTCTCCCACATCTACTACCGCAACTCGAGGCACTCTGTCGCCGCCGTCGTCAAACTCCGCCCCCAGTATCCCACCCAAAGATCGTCGATTGAGCGACCTCACAAACTACCGCCGTGATCTTGCCGTTCTCGAGCCCACTCGTTCCCATCCGCCATCCTCATCATCACCATCATCTTCGCAAGTGCCGCCGCCGCAACACAGCCATTCAGTAGGCAGCCTGGCGGCAAGCACCCAGATCGCGCCATGGATGTCGTCAGCTTTGCCTGCCAGCTCATCTCCCAAGGGACTCACCACAACCTTCTATAATGATTCCAGCGACAGTCTGTCCCTTGCGTCGCAGTTGTCCCCCGGCCTGCCGTCAGCAACAGGTCGTCCGGGAACTGGCTCCGGTTCCATCAGCCAGGACTATGCCGATGTACTGTATGAGAACATGGACGGCAGGCGACCTTCAGCTGCTAGTATTGTGACGACCGCCAGTA